CACAAACTTGCGGACATCCGAGCTGACGCGGACGCACAGCCGAGACGAGTTGCGGCGCAGAAAAACTGGAAAGTCTTGCGCTCCGCTCCGAACCGATCGCATTCTTCGGAGTTCGCGTTCGGGAAGAAGCCTTCGTCGTCTCGGGAACCAACTCAAACACATTGATATCCATAGGATTCGCTCGAATCGCGCGCTTCGGTAATAATCCTTTCAGAACACAGAGACCTTACGGATATTCCACGAAACTCTATTGACAAATTCCAGCGATACAACGAATTGAACGCCGGAAAACGGAGTTTCACCGCAATAATCAACGACGGGGGCACCGCGAGAGACTTCCACGCGTGTCCTTTTTGTTCCAACTGTCCGGCAGCTATAGCCACGGGCGAAATCGAGCGGGACACGCGTCGGTCGCGCGCCGAAATGAATTACTGGCGACTCTCGCGGATCGGCGGGCCGATTATTTAGAGCCGGGCCGAGTCCATAATCGCGCGGGGAATGATGTATCGTCGCGTCGCGGGATTGTTCGATGACCTAGAATTCCATTATCGAATTCTGGCCGTCTACGGTGGCCTGCGCCCGGCTGGATGCACGCGCGGCGTGCTCGCTGCCGAATACTCGCAGCCTGTCACGGGGCGTCGGGACTCGATACGCGTCGATATTCCCGTCGCGCGGGCACGACGTTGCGGGATGGTAAATGGATTTCTGATGGCTCGGAGAGCGAGCCCGAAAACCGAGTTTTACGGGCAGCCTCGGAAAGCTGTTCCCCCTCGACCCTTCGCCGCTCCGTCGCATCCGCCCTTCTCGTCGAGCCCTTTTCCCTCTGTCGAAGGATTCACTTTTGCGGATAGGAAATTAGCGAGAAAAGAGAGGAAGAACGATCGGGAAAAGGGGGATCGTCGACGAGAGTCGCGCAGCTGGAGGCGTGGTCGACCCGCGAGAGATCTCGGGCTCGATTCCGCGAGCGGATCGATCGATCTTTATTCTCCTGCGCTTTAATCCGAGAAGAAGGTCGTACGTTGCCCGCATTCGAATCCTTTCCCGCAGCTCGCGCGGGTTTAAACCGCGCAACGAGAAATCCCGGGACGCCGAGGCATCGACGTCGCATTTAATTTGAAGCAGGCCCGCGGTCGATCTCGATCTTTCCGCCGGTTCGTTTCCGCGGGACGTGTTCGCGGCTGATTCTTTGACTGCCTCGACGTCATTTCCCGTGGGAGAACGCCGGGAAACGCGAGCGCGCGGACTACCGGACGGCCACGGGAAACGGAGAAGAATGCGGAGGGACCTCTTCTGTCCCGGTTCCTTTTTCCGAGGGACGTCGAGCACCGCCCCGCGTCTTATTAGACTCTTCTGCCGCGTATTACCGGCATGCCCGAAGATTTTCATATCCCCGGCCATCGCGCGACAAAGCACGAAACACATTTCTCACAGTCGCGGCGATCTCGCGCGCCGGCCGAGACGAAGCTGAATTTTCCAAGCGAAAAACGAGGCAGGAGCGGCGAACGTTACCTGGAATCGCGGGGAAAGTCGATCGGCCGTCGTCGGTCGAACGAATTAATTAACGGGTAATTGGGAACGCAACGTCGACGAGTCACGGCCCGGAAGTCGGACGGCCGAGCCGTCCCTTGTCCCTTAACGGCGCGAACGAGGGTTTCCCGAAAAGAAAACAAGGGAACGGAAAAGGGCCGGCGGCGCGGGGATCTCGCGCCGTGCCGTTTAATTAAACGGCAGCGTTTTAATTGGCGCGTACAATTAAACAGAGAGGACGACTAGATAATTTATCGCACCCCCTCTCCGCTTTCCCCGGCGGCGTTCTCGCGAACGATATTTTCATTGTCATTGTTAACGATCGGCCGCGTCCCTTTAATCGTCACCGATATTAATTAACCGCGCACCGGAGCCAGACATTCAATTATTCAATCGGTGCGCCGGAGCGAGCGGCCGAATAATTCAGCGCTGGCCGTTCGGCGGGCCACGGTTTTCGGCGGTGAAAGGCGTGTCTCCGTTTCCGAGTGAAAATTCTGCGAGAGCCTCGCTCGGCTGCGGGTCAGGGACGCCCGTTAAAAACGTCGCGGTGACTTTTCTTCTCTCTTCTTCCCGCGTTTCCGCCGCAACGATCCCCCCTCGAAATCGAATTATTTCCGCGGGCCGCGCAGCGCGTTCCGCCTTCGCCGGTGTCGCCGTAATTCCTCGTATTTTTCCGTCGAACGAGGCGGCCGACGACTTCGACGGCTCGCGAGAGAGCTCCGCGCTGAATTTCGGCCGTCCGGGTTACCTCGGGCGAACATTTCTTTGTCGAATCAGCGGCGAAGGTCGCGCCGTTAACCGGCGTTGCTGCTTGGACGCGTCGCGCGCCGCACACTCCTCGTCGAGTGCGTTCCGCCGCGCCTCGCTCTCGCGGAGCTCCACGGAAATTGGACGAATTCGACGCGTTCGGTGCCACGGCCGCCTATCGATCACCGAACTGCTTGGACGCGATCGCTCGCGAAGCGTAAAATAACCGTGAATCGAGCAGACAACGGCGCGACTCGAGAACCGCGACACCGAACGTTCGACAAACGAGGCAATTAGCGAGTCAACGGCTAGCATAGACGAACCGGTACGCGCGTAAATCTCCGAGTCGATTTCCACCGATCCTCCATAGACAGTTTTCAATTGGGGACAGACCAGAAGGGGAAAAAATAGTTGGAGCCGGCACGATAATTGCGCGCAGAAGCGTCACCGGGCTCTTCTGAATAATTAACGCTCGCCTTCTTCCGGCTACGGGTTCGGGGCTCTATTAATCGGTTCGGCGGTTGATTTACGGTGTCATTGTGGTCACCGTGCGCCGGTGATTATCGATTTCGCGAGAACGCGGCATACATATTAAATTGTGGTCGGGAACGGGGCGCAGCTGCCTGCTGCCTTTCCGGAATAAACGGCCCACCCGTAATTGGAGGCGAGGGCCAATTAGACCAAGTCGAGAGGAGCGGCCGTTCCTTCGCGGCGGGACGGGGCGCGCGAAAAAGGGAGGCCTAATTTTTCCGCGAGCTATTTTAACGAGGGCCTCGACGATATAGACGATAACAGCGACGTCGAACGGTGCCGTTCACCGACTAACACGAATTATCCGTTGATAGGCGTCGATTAATCTTCTCATCCCTTATCGTAATTCCCTCGGGGGACCCTCTTTTTCCGTGCGCGGTAGAATATGGTTTTGCTTCCTCGGAAATATCCAATGTTCGCAACGTCCGTGCACCGATCGCTGCTCGCTCGAAAAGGAAATACAAAACGGATACGAGCAGACAAAGGTTTAAGTGCTCGGAACTCTACCTACGGAATCAATCCGCTGAATTTCACCGTTCGGTTTCCGAGCTATAGGTTCCTATTACCTCTCGAGGAAATATATTTTTACGATAGGGCAAAGTCGTTACTCTTCCCCCGCGTGCCGAACAAGAGACCGCGAGCGATAAGAATTACGCTCCGGGGGAGGAAATGAGCCGCTAAAGATAAATAAACGAAACGAGACCGGTCGAATCACGTAGCGGTGGCTCGTTCCCCGGCGCATGCTTCGCGCGAAACACTTTTCCCTCGGTAAATAGATCGCTACGTGGTTCCGAGAACGTTATTCCGCCGGCAGGTAACGCGGTGTTTGCCGGCTCCCGAGACCATTCTTCTCCGGCGATATCGAAACCGAGACACTTCATCGCGGTCGAGTGCCTCCGCGGCAATGTTTTCCAGTCCGATTCGCTGGAAAACTCGTCCCAGGTTCCTCCCACCGCGGGGAAACGTTCCGAGGGCAACCGAGCAATTAAATCGTTTTATAAAACATTTCTTATAAACATCCGAGCAACGCGTTTATCGAGATTTCGAGTGCCTCTCGCCTTTGTAACCGTGGAAACACGGATTTATGGTGAAACTTTGAAATTTCCCAATCTTTTATGACCCTCTTAATCCATCAGGCAGTCCCGGTAATGAGTATCGAACCCCTTACCCGAGGGTCTTGGGTCCGACAGGGTCTCGGTCGACGTTCCTGCGCGTTTCGTCGTGTTTAGGTTCGTTTGTTCAGCGATCCTTTTGTTCAGCGATACAATACCGACAGATAAAAAATGAACGAAATGTAAGCGGCGAATGGGAGGGATATAATAAGGATAAAACAGAGAAGTTTGTAAAGTTGGGACGGAACTTTTCAGTTACCTTTAAACGAAAGGTTCACGGTACGCTGGAAAGGATACGCGAGTTAATGGATTCGTCCGAGGCCGATTAATCCTTCGGCGAATTATTCCTACCGGTTCCCGGAATAAGAGACCGAGCCACTTACAATTACGGAAGGGACCGATCGAATTCTGACGGCGAAACTTTCGTTTCATCTGTCTTTCCAGTCGGCAAACAGCCTTCGCTCCGCGAGCACGTTCCTCCGAGCTGACAAGAGACTCGAGATAACGTCGAGAGATGTTCCGCCGAGCGAATGGTAAAACGCGGAGGTGAACGCTCACGGGCCGAACAAGGGAAAAAGGGACGGACGTCAAAGGCCGAGGAGGAATAATTAAAAGAAAGTTTCGCTCGCGCGAACTGTCGCTTTGACGCGGCGGAAGATCGTTGGGTTTCGCCGAAGGGTTTCCCCGTCGGCTTTGCGAACGAAGTCCTCGGTTTCTTTGGCACGCGAGCGGGAACGATTGGCCGATATTGGACGACAGAAATTACGCGAAAAGCTAATTGCACGCTTTTGTCGAGCGGGTCGAATCGTTTGATCCGCGATAAACGGCGAACACGGTCGCTGCGGCGTAAACTTGGCTAGTACGCGGCGCGCTGCGCAAAGATGGCGGTAGTCGGTCGCGACGGCCGTCTCGTAGCTCGTCGCTGGGAGGAAATGCTCGGGATCGATTTCCGATCTTGCGCTCGGTAAAGAGTCTCCGGAGGTCACCGTCCTCCGTCGATCCCCAGCGACGATTTACGCGAGAACGCTTCCCTCGGACGAAACTGTCGCCGCTCTTAAGCCCTTTCCTCTGTTTTTTCCACAGCCTCGGATCTGGACTGCATAAGAGCGTTGTTCAACGAGAAGGAGAAGGAGCTCTCGTTAGCGGTGGCGAAGGTCGACGAGTTGACACGGCAACTGGAGGAGCTGCGGGGCCGACAGAACGCTGCGGGCACCGGGGCCGGAAGCGGTGGCCCTGGAGGCGTCGGCGGCGGCGGCGTCGGCGGTCCCGGCAGCGGACATCTCTCGACACCGGCCAGCGCCGAGCTGGAAAAGCTCAGGAGGGAGCTTATGGTGAGCCTTTCGTTCCTCCTCTCGACGCTAAGTCCCTGTCGCGTCTCTGCTGCAACGTTCCACTTCGAAATCGCATCTACGCTCAGCGAAATCCTCTTGGTACTCGCGCGATTCCAGCTGCGCCACCGATCTGGCGTTCCATTTGCAGTAAATTTTTAGCCAGCCACTTGCCGCTGAACAGTTCGATTCGGGGAATCTCGGAGGTCCGATGCTCAAACGTTTTGTACGGGCAGAGATGATTGTTTACGATCGAAAGATTCTTTCGTTCCCTTTAATCCATCCCCTTGTTATTACCGTTTTACGCGACGTACAATCTGTATTGAGACGTCGGAAGGATATGACCTTTTCTAGGCAGCACGTTTTGACCCTAATCGAATGAAAAACACTCGATCTGATCTTCGAATGATCCCCGAGCATCTCCTGTCATATATTTCCTATCGCTTGTATCTTCGCGGAAGCATCGCCCGGCCGTCAATTTCAATCGTCTCGAAATCGCGACGGAGATCTCGAGGAGGATCTCCTCGAGCAGGGTGCCTTATCCAGCGAACTGTGCAAAACCGATTTCCTGTTCCGATCGACAGTACCGTAACAAGATGAACGAGCAGCAGAACCAAGTGGTGTCGCAGCAACGGTTGGCCCTGGCGCAGCGACAAGCGGAAATGGCGTCGATCGACGCGAGGATAGCGCAGCTCCAGGGTCGTCTTCAGCGCAAGAGAGCCCTGAACCAGCGGCTCAGCCAGCAGCTCGGCTCCGGGAACCGTGGGAACGCCAACACCGGCTTCACGGAGTCGAAGCTCGACTTCAACTCCGGCGGGAAGTCGAGACCCGCCGGCAACATAGCCGCGATCGAGCCCTACTCCCACATACCGAACGACAACGACTTCAACTTGAACAAGAACGACCCGAAGTACCAGACGCTGCCGTACAACACCAAGTTCACGGTGAACTTCAAGGCCGCCGAGGATGACGTCAACAAGAACAAGATCCAGCACTCGGCCAGCGCTTCCCAGCTGGGCCAGAGGGTCACCTTCCAGCAGTTCGGCCACCAGATCGCCCACAGCCAGTCGCAGTCCCATACCCAAGGTTCGTAAATCGAGCAGAGCCTCTCGCCAGTCAGTCAGAGTTCGCAGCCTCGATTCCCCTGAATTAACCGATCGAACGAATGCTTCTTCCAGGTCAATCGCAGCTCCTAGGCACGAACCAACAGCACAATCAAAACATCGGTAGTCAGTCGGTGAACCTTCAGCAAACTTGCAATAATAATAAGAACAACAATAACAACAACAACAATAACAACAACAACAACAACAACAACAACACGAACAGCACCAACAACAATCTGATCGTCTCTGGACACAACTTCAGCCCGGACGGTTTGTCGCAGAATCTTCGAGTCCACCATCAACAGCAACCTCAAACCCAGCAGCAGCAGCAGCAGCAGCAGCAGCAGCAGCAGCAGCAACAGCAACAACAGCATGGGAACGTTCAGCAGAAGCAGCACAGCATCGGTTCGTCGACGTCCAGCTTGGGCACGACCGTGTCCATCACGCAGACCCAGAACCATCGGAACCTTCAGACTCATCAGAAGCCGGTGTCCAGTGTAGCTCCGAGTTTCTCGGTCAAGTCGCAGATCTATCAGACCTCCTCGACGAAGATCCATCCGGTGATGCCGCAGACGTTGAGCCTGATAGGCCGCGGGCACGCGAACGCCCAGAACTTCGTCGGTCTGAGTAGCCAGAATCCTGCTCAACAGCAGTCGGGTCAGTCGATTCCCAGCAATCAGCAATCTTCCAACCAGGATCAGCAAACGTACACTTCGAGGCACAACTACCCGGGCATCCAGCATTCCACTCAAGCCAACACCCACGTGTCCTCTTCCGTGGCCTATCAGACGCAGAACTCGCCGAACCTGGCGTCGACCGTTCACACCTCGTCCACCGGGATCAACTTCGGCAATCCGGTGCAGAGGTACCAGGCCCAGACTCAGCCGTTGTCCAGCCCAGCGTCCGCGAGCGTCGAGCAGACCGACAAGATGAAGTTCGAGGGCAAGAGCCAGGAGAAGTTCGAGCACTCGCTGCCGAACAAGCAGGAGCAGCAGAGGTACGAGCCCAATCAGTTCAAGTACGACCCCCATCAGATGAAGTACGACCAGCATCCGAAGTACGAGCACGGCAAGTACGATCAGACCGGCCAGCCGACGAAGCTGTACGATCAGTCGGGCAAACACGAGCCGCCGGCCGGTCAGACGACGGGCAAGTACGACAACGCGAAGCTGGACCAAGGAAAGTACGAGGCCGGACAGACGAAACACGAGCCGCATCACGTGCTCAAGTACGATCCCAATCAGAATACTCAGCAGTACGGCAAACACGATCAGCACGAGGTCAGGCCGTCCGTAAAGTACGAGCTGAACACCGCGTTCAAGCACGACTCGTCGAGCAAGTACGAGCCGCCCGGGCAGCCGTTCAAGCAGCAGGAGCCGGGCAAGTTCGAGAACAATCAGACCAAGTACGAGCAGGGCTCCGCGGCGAAGCACGAGCACAATGGGAAGTTCGAGATCCCCGCGAAAATGGCGGAAAAGCCGCTCGAGTTCGAGAGGCTGAAGAACGAGAGCGAGAGGAAGAGTCTGGCGGAGATACGGGGCGAGGACAAGACCAAGCCTGCTCTACCCCCGAAACCCAGCAAGCCTAATCCTCCGCCGAGATTGACACACCACGAGAAGGTGGATACCTCCGCGGACGGGATCGCCGATTGCAAGAACAGTATGGGAATCGGTCCAAGGTTCGTATGCCCGTCAACGATTGGTCCCTTCTTCTTGCAGGTTCGGGTCCGTCGACCTTTTCGAAATTACGTCTCGAGCGGATTTCGTCGAAATTAGCCAGTCGAGTGTTCGGGATCCTAGGGAAAGGAAGGATCGATCGGCGCGGATGGAAGCGAACGGCAAAGGTTTCGGGCACAGGATGACAACACGATTTTACCGGGTTAATTATAAATGTTAATTAGTCCGTGATCGATTTGGCCGGTGAATCGAAGAAGCCTGTCACGAATAAAAGACACCGAAATAGAACGAGTGCTGTGTGCCGCGGAGACAACAGCTTTTAGTACTCGCGAGCTCCTCGATCGATCGAGGCCTTGTTTTCTGATCGGCTTTTTGGTGACGCGCGCGCGCGCTCCCCTTCCGTTCGGATTTAGTTTTTTTCACTCAAACGGGGCCCATTCGGACGCGTTTCCTCGCGCGGCGAACGCTAGAGATTCGAGAGATTATCCCGACTCGACTTTGAACGGTTCGAAAATATTCAACCGGGGAACGTTCGATAGGAAACTGGAATTTATTGTATGTATTCGTTGAATTCGCGTCGATCGTCGGGAGAGCATTGTTGTACATTGTAGAACGAAGTATCTCGCGTTAACGATCGCACAAAATTCTCTGCAGGACGGAGAAGGAGGAAGACGTGCCACCGATCCCGACGTCGGAGCCCCCGGAATCCCCAACGGAGACGCCGTTCGGCAACCACCAGATCATCAAAGCCAGACCGCTGACCCTGAAGAAAGCTCCGATCTCCGAGCAGCCGAAACTCCGTTACGCCAAGTCGAATGTCCACGTGTCGATAAACCGGCGAATCGAAATGCCTCCAGCGTTCCTCTTCCCGGAGACCGAGATCCCGGCGGATCTGATGCAAACCGAGCAACAACAGCAGCAGCAGCAGCAGCAGCAACAACAGCAACAACAACAGCAGCAGCAGCAACAACAGCAACAACAGCAGCAGCAGCAACAGCAACAACAACAGCAGCAGCAGCAACAACAACAACAGCCGCAACAGCAGCCGCAGATAATCGATACAACGGACAATTGCAAAAAGAGCATCGTCGAGGACGTGATCAGCAATGAAAAGTTAGAGGAGTCGGACATCATCGACGCGCTGAACGTGATCAACATCGAGGACAAAGCGAAAGCGCAGAAGGATTCGGAGAGAAGGACAGAGTTGGACGTGGACGGAAAGGGGAACGAGGTGATGAGGAGGAAGAAGGGGAACCTGAAGTCCAGCACGGGGAAGGCGAACCTCTCGAGGCGAGTGTCCTTTGATCCTCTGGCTCTCCTGCTGGATGCCAGTCTCGAGGGTGAGCTCGAGTTAGTGAAGAAGACCGCTAAAGAGGTCGCTAATCCCAGTTCGGCCAACGACGAGGGAATCACCGCGCTACACAACGCCATTTGCGCCGGTCACCTGGAGATCGTCAAGTTCCTCGTCGAGTTCGGATGCGACGTGAACGCCCAGGACAGCGACGGATGGTAAAATATCGCTTGGACAAGTTGACAAGTGTCTTCTCGTTGTATATAGATGCGCGTATATTGTATTATATTATATATATATATATATATATATATATATATATGTGTGTGTTTTAATTGCGATGTGTCGCGTAGGACGCCGCTTCACTGCGCCGCGAGCTGCAACAACCTGTCGATGGTGAGATTCTTGGTCGAGCACGGAGCCTGCATCTTTGCCACCACCCTCTCCGACCACGAAACCGCCGCGGAAAAGTGCGAAGAGGACGAGGAAGGCTTCGACGGTTGCTCCGAATACTTATACAGTTGGTGTTTAGCGACAATGAACCTTTGAATTGCACCCGTGGATTCGTTCGTTTAACGAGAACCTTTCGCTCGCAGGTGTTCAAGAGAAGCTGGGCATCATGAACAACGGGCAAGTGTACGCGGTGTTCGACTACGAAGCGCAGCACAGCGACGAGCTGACCTTGAAGAACGGGGATTCCCTGGTGGTGCTCCGGAAAGGCGACGACAACGAGAGGGAATGGTGGTGGAGCAAGCTGGGCCACAAAGAAGGCTACGTGCCCCGAAATTTACTCGGCGTAAGTTGCCAGTCCTTCTTCTCGAAGGGTTCGAAATATAAACAAACAATCATCCGGATTAGCCTGTTATTTATTCGGGACCGTTCCGCGGGCAATACGTCATTCACGGTACCACGAGTATTATGAATGGCGAACGAATAAAGACGCGTAATCCCTCTTTCCCAGTTGATTGGGGATTAACCGAGAATCTGTTTTGTAGGACGAAATAACAGGATTGATTATTCTCGCGTGTATTTCAGTTGTATCCGAGGGTGCAGCCGGCGAAGGTGGATTGAAGAGGAGCGCGTCAGCTCGAAATAATCCGATGATTGATCATTACCACAGTATTCGATTCGCAGCTTTATCTCGTTAAGTATCATAGTTGCATCGTCGTCGCATTACCAACGTTCTATCTTTATTTAATCGCGTCCCATTGTCATCCGAAACGAAACGAAACGAAACGAAACGAAACGAACCGAGCGGGACGAGATACGCTCCTCCTCGACGTGTAGGTTTCATTTCTTTTTTATGTTTTGTAAGACAAAACCGGTTAACTGCTAATGAGCCCGGAGCATGGGGTTATCGTAAGTTATTCTCGTTGAAACGCATGCGTTAGGGCGTCGACCAATAAAAATTGTCGCGGTGTTCAGCGACGAGGAACAGCGACGAGAGCCAGCTGAACGTTTCAAAGGATCAAAGAAAAATTACGATTAAATACGATGTAACCGAAAGCTTAGGAAATTACGAATTAATGTTCGCGCGCTCGCACACCACACACACGTCCACACACCACACACACGCCCACACATCATATACACACACACACACACACGCGCGGTTCGTGTTAAAAGTATTCGCGCTCGGTGTTCCGAAGAGGATCAAGCCAATTCCGTGTCCGTCGAAGGAAAGGTAAGATGCAGCTCGTAAACGTATCGCGAGAATCGTTCGTGTCCCGCGCGTTAGTCAGTTCCTTTGACGAAACAGTACAAAAAGAAAGAAACTCGAGTTTTCCCCCATCCCTCGGTCCTTGGGAATTTCGGTTGTTGGGTCGGCGACTCGTGCAGCTCGCGATCGAAGCGTTCACGTTTAATATCCATGATTTCAGCGTCACGTCGCACCGGGCAACGATCGCTTGAGAAGTTCCTCTCGCCGATCATCACCGCCGATGATCGGCTCCGCCGACTGCACGGGCATCACCGTCAAATAAATCGTGAGAGAAGAGTATCGTTTGATCCTCGACGCTATGAATTTTCGTCGGTTCCAGGAGGAACTTTTCGAACGGTCCCTCGACGCCCCTAGCCTTTTTATTTCACGCGTACTTAACGTTTGATTTGTTTCACCTAAATGAGCCCGTTTAGATGAAGTCAGATTATTGTTGCGGATTATTGTTACGTTTGTTCGTCAGCAGCGAAATTTTCCAAATCCGACCGAGATGATATCGGATTTCGAAAATGTTCCTAACGATCGATAATGTAATCTCGCCGATCGGACGGCTGTAGACGGTCCGGGAGCGAACGGAGAGGATACGCGCGCGCGATTCGCGGTTCGCGAACACGGGATCCCTCGGGGGTGTCCCGTTAACGAATCGACACGACACGCGACTAGAATTGTATAATTGATAATTATCAGCCAGGCCAGATTCGAATGACTCGCGGTCAGACAGGTCCTGAGCGCATCTTGTTGTACCGTTTAAGGAATGTACAGGTGAATGAATGTAACCGCGCTCAGAACGTTTCTGACGTGTTTACCCGTAAATAAAGTATGTGCCTTTCAGAAGTAATAATGGATATATTATGTAAGAATGCATGATATATTATGACGAATAAATTGTTTTTAATAGAAAATCATTACAAAATATCGTTTATTGTTGTGGAAAAATACATACGAACAGAGTGATACATTGATCGATAATCGAGGGTAAGTAATCGCCCGGTTACTTTTTAGCAAAAATACTTTCGAGGTACAATAATATATAAAAAATATACTAAAAATCTCGTATAAATATCCTAAAATAGGAAAGAACACGTCCACCACGAACTACATAAAATAAGGCACTAACAGTTACGCGCGTCCAAAATAAATAACATTTTACTGGGAGTACATGGGATGCTTTTCAAGCGATGCATCTTTGTCCAATAATGTTAATCAATAATGTTATAAAACGAGCTAAGCATGAAAATTAAATACCCTTATGTCTAAGTTAATACCATTCCAAAAAAAATATCATAGTGTACTTGGAAAGCTGCTGTTAAAATCATTCATGGGTCTCCATATGACGTGTATCAGAGTTAAAAATATGTATATATTAAAAATATATATATATATATATATATATATGTATATGTATATAGATA